TTTTCGTGCACATTTTTCATTTGTTACGTTCGTTTCGCCCTATTTGCTATGTGCTCTTCCAAAGAGCAGTTTACAGGTGGTTGATCACGGCATCTTTCAGTGATTGAATGTACAGATGCCACTCGTGTCATATTGCATCCGACTGAATCAGGTATGGACAGTGGTTCTGAGGCGATCAATCGTACACAGCAACTAACATCTCATAATGTGTTCTTCAACGATGACGACGTACCAACACCGTTGAAAGCGCACACTGCCTAGTGCGTTTATCACTTTTTTTAGTAATGTCAGCGATTTTCGCAAGAAATATAAACTACTACAAAAATGAACAACAAATGTACACTCTTAGTGGTTGAAGATGCTGTTGATGGCAATGAAATCATTGCGAAGCATTTGAAATTTCAGTGGAACTTCTGATTTTATTCACGCATCGTATGTACGTGGTGGACCACTTCTGAATACGTTTATTTGCACTCAAGCGCCGATGATGTCGACAATAAATGACTTTTGGCAGATGGTTTGGCAGGAACGATCCAACTATATCATCATGTTGTGTGGTGCGTTTGATCCGAGTCGTATGGGTCCACTCGATTCAACTATGCTCAGCGTTTGTCCATACTATTGGCCACGGTAAGACATCAGTTTCAGCCATCTGTATGGGTGTTAATTTCGAGCAAATCCCGTATAGACAGTGGAACGTGTCAGCTGGAAAACTAAATGAATGAGTTGTTTTGGTAATTGCAGGATGGAGGGTGAGGAAAGACTGTATGGTGACTTCATGGTACGAAATGAGCGTGTCGACGGTGCAATGGATCCGCTCTTTAACGTCACTTATCTGTCAGTGTGGCGTGCAGACGATACGACTAGAAGAAACGTGCATTTGCTACAGCATTGGCAGTATGACTGGACTGACTTCTCAGATTCACACTGGCCTCTTCGTGTACTCAGAAGGTATTCATCGAACGCTTACATCGAACCCTTACAAAACACTGGCCTTGTTTTGTAAGGGTTCGATAAATCATTCATGATGGCGGTATGACATTTGTGGGAGAAGGGAAATTTTTGAAAACTTCTTTTTGAAGATCAACTACTGGAGAAAGCATCCAGTTTTGAAGGCAATTTGCAATTTTCACAAAATTTTCAACTTCAGGGCTCGTCTTTCACCAACACCAACCATTGTGCAATGTATGGACGGATGCGGTCGATCAGGTACACTGGTCTGTATTGAAGCGTTGCTGATGCATGTGCTTCGTGGATCAGCAAGATACGACAAACTCATCTTAACAACTGCGCTTTTCGTGCGTTTACAGCGTCGTCATTCGATAGCCACCCCACTTCAGTACCTCTTCATCTATCGAACACTTCTCTACTGGATGCAGCCGTACATCACTTCTATCTCACAGCGATTCTATTTAGGTCTGACATATCCACAATGGGGATTTGTCGGCAAATACAATAAACTTGTTGCAAAACATGCCGCTGGATCGCATTATTATTTCGCATAAATTTGACAACTGTGTTACTTTCAACAACAAATTCTTTCCTTTCATATTAGAAACATCAGCAAGAAAGTGATCTGCCATGCACATCACAAGTTCATCTTGAAATTCAACTTGGGCCAAGCGAAATATATTTATTCAGTAGTCTTTATTTATTCACCGATAAAACTCAATTTAATTTTCTGTGTATCTGCTATTCTATGGTGGATTG